CTATGCTGCGTGAATCGGTTTCTCCGCGTTCCGACATGCGCCGGTGTTTCGTGCAGGATGTAGTCGACTGAAAAGTTTTGCATAAATCCAATGTTTCTTCTTCACCCAATTAATATCCGCAAAAACTTTGGAATACTTTTACGAATATTTACTCCATGTTTTTTGCATTTTACTATTTATGCTTAACTTTTAGACACCGATGTAGTTCAAATCTGTGAGCTGTTGATAATGGCTTCTTCGTCTTCTTAAACGCATTCTTGGTCAACATCAATTCAATACGTAAATTCCACAAACAAATACGAGAACTTATCAGCATGCTTTTAAAGAACCTGATTAGAAAGTTCGCAGTAGGGATACTAGCGCCACATATAAGCGCGAAATTTCATTCGATGTCATTTTTCAGATGTATAAACACGCCTAACAAATTTCGTTTATCTAACATAAGTCTTTCTTGGTGTTGAGATTTTTTCCCGTCGGTGTAGATTGCTGTTCACTAAGAATTATTTATGGTTATTCATGGAATTTAAGTCGATTTTGTTGGGAATATTTTTGCAATTAGTGTAATAAATAATTACCAAAGTGAAAACAATTTGCTTTTTCATCGATTCACGCATGAAATAAAAAAAATTAAATTCAATCACTTTATTTGCGATGTTTTATTCAAAGAACAATTAGAGTACAACTGTTACTTCTCAAAACACATTCTATTAAATCTTCTTTTATATTTTGTAAAAGGGGTTTCTAAATGATTTTTTTTTTAATTTAATACTTATCAGATATTTTGCACTTTCAAAAATATTTGAATTCGAGTATTTATTGACATGAGATGAAATAAATTCTATACTTTATTTACTGGTCGTATCATTCACTGATATGTTTTAAAGACAAGGCAATGGGCTTTTAATGGAAGATAAAAATATCAATACAGCTTAAAACAAATGTTTCACTACAAATTACGGATTCTAGAAACGTTTCATTATACATTGTTAAGCTATACTCTAATATTAAACAACACTAAATTTATTGTAAGACTACTTTTTAAAAGGAGCATTAATTCATAAAGTATATATATAACGATTTCTTGTCTTCTAAGCAACTGTTTAATTATTGCTCAATAATTTGCTATTCCCAGTTCATTTATTTTCAATTATGAAAACAATAAAAATAAAATAATAAGATATTAATTGGTAAAAAGTATTATCAAATATAAAATATATTATTAAAAGAATAATAATACAATTGTTATTTAAACATTTACGCATGTTATTTATCAATAAGTGTTATAGAAATTAAATCTCGCATTTTAAGCCAGTGCAATTATAAATAGGCTTTAACTAATTAATATCTTATTTAAATTAGTCTGCGCTTGAACGAATTTAATGTTAATTAGCTGTATTTAGTTACAATTAGCCTAAATTGATAATAAACCACTCAGCATATACCGATATATCAAATGCTTTCAACACTATTATATTGCTCAATGTATTATACCATATTAATTAATTCCCCCATGTTATCTTGTCACTATGTTACTACACAAAAATAAAGCTTTGCGAAATAGTAGCGGAATATAAATTTTGAATTTTATTAGTAAAACTTAATCAGAGTTTATGACCATAAGGTTAGGAGAATATTTACAAATAATAATCACAACAGTGCTAATTAAAAAAAAAATCTGCTTGAATAATTTTTAAAGAAACACCTGAAATATTAGCAAAATAAATATTATCAATGAAAATTAGAAATGTAACGGAATTTGAGTTGTGCTACTTGTTAGAATTTTGTAATCATTGTTACATTATGGATACAAATAAGCTTAGAAATTCTAATGGGTACTTTGAGATGTTTCCCCTAATTTAAATACGAAAGAGATTTCAGTATTTGTTCAAGTGCTTTGATGACTTAAATGCAAATAGTATATAATCCATTGACACTGAAACGGTAATATTGACACGAAGTGCATGATTACTATAGCTTAAGGATTGTAGATGCTGCATAACATATTTCTCCACAAATAGCATATTTCTCAATTATGTGATTAATGAAAGTTTTAAAAGAAAATACACGTCGAAAGGTTATGTATACATAAAAATATTTAAGCTATTTTACATGAAAAAAAAGCAATTTTAAACATAAATATCTAGAATAAAACTCTAAAATCTTATAAAAATCTTTATCATATTAACAACCGTTACATTGCGGAAATTAGCATATTAATCTACACACTAACTAAAATGATCAATTAAAGAAAAAATTAATGCGGAGAATTGTTTCATTTCTCAAATTACCTAAGTAATCTGTGAATTACCTAGGTAATTTGCACATTACCCACTGAACACTCGTTAATCTACACATAACCAACAAGGCACTAGTTAAAACTAAAATATAGTCACTTATAGAACATCAGCAACGTTTTTAAAAACATAAATTGAATGGGATTTATTTATGTTTATATGTATAGAATTAAGTAAATACAATCCAACAATCAGCACAGTTGATAGAATCAATCATCAATCGATTCAAAAGCTACGATACAAGGAATCAAACGGTTGAAAATATTGTTGCTATTAAGAAAATAAATTTTCAAAACATTAAAAATTATTCTTACTTATTAATACAATCCGAAGATTGATGACACTTTGAAGTGTATAGAATTGGTTTTTTGTGACAAGCCCCCCTTGCACCCCTAGAAGATGCTGGTCGTCGCAATTAAGTTTATTATAAATTAATTCAAGGTGTCTTTTGTTGAATACATTTGCTGTATATGCTTTTCTGTTTCTAAATGCTTAGGATAAATTATACTGGGATAAAACATTGTTAAATCTAAATTCCCAATAGAAAAGGAACGAGGAAAACCTCTTGATTCCGCACTTTAAAGAAACAAATGAGTTTATCTGCAGATTAGCTAGGTAATATGCACGCTAACGGCATTCAAGCTTTAACTGCATCATAAAGATTACATAATTCTGTATTATCTGTTAGTAATGCTTAGTATTATTATATTTTAACTCACTATATCATAGTAAAGTAAATTAATTAAATTAAAAACAAGTTAATTATACAAATGCAAAGCTTGGAATTTAAAACAAAAAATAATGCGATAAAAAAGTTTAAAATTAGCAATTTAGTAAGAATTTTGGCATTCAGATATTTCTGCTGAAAGAAAATCTATTAAACTTTTTTATCTTCAAAATATAACTTTATTATATTTTTTTATAAGTAAATACATGCTTATATATATATATAGTCCCTGAATATGATATTCAAAGTACTTTATAAGATATTGAAGAAATATTTTATTGGAATGATATTTCAAAAATAAATTTTATATATTATCTGATTTTATTTTTTAGCACCGCTCAAATTTTTATATGCAGGATTTGTCTTTATTTTTATAAAAATTGTTTGTTAATTTTTTATTTATAAACCTATTTATTAAAATGTGCAACATAATCCTCTTAACATTATCTTTATTTACACAACATTCTGTTAGTCTTACTGTTTTCCTATTAGATTCTACTTCTGTCTAAAAATTATACAAAAATTTAGCTGTTAAGAATATGGAATTACCGAATTTTGGAGATGGAATCTGATAAGATAAAAAAGGAAAAATTAGTAACAATTCCAAATTTTAAAAAAATTGATATAATTATTTTCTATTTACTTTTTTCTATAATTTGAAAGTTATTTTCAAAATTAAATCCACGTATGGGTATTTAGGCAGAACGAGATATCAAAGAAAGGAGCATTTATCAAAAAAATTTCAGATGAAAATGAGTTCTGTTGAAATATGCTTCTTAACAATGTGTACATTCACTTTTCTAGATAAATCACTACATGAAAAGAGAAGATATCTCTACCGAAATCCAAACTTTTACACATATAAGCCATATTCTATACACATCTAAAGAAACACTTCACCAATTTCGAAAATTTTTATACCTTTGATTAGTCGTTGCTCTTGAATCTTTAAGTAAAAGTCAACAAAGTATTTGAAGCTAAATCTTAGTTGTTTAAATATTTATTTTGTACTTAAGTGTTGAAATAGCATAGTAAAAATAAATAATTATTTGTACGTTTACTTTCTGAATGCCTGAATAAGAATAAAGTATTGTGTCATAAGTTATCGTATTTATTTAAAACTTTTTATTGATCAAAATGTAACATTCAGTTAAAATTAATATTTTATAAAAGTCGATTTTCTTTCCACAAATACGCGAATATTGATTAATTTACTTTTAATCCAGTTTTCATTTCGTTAATATAAAAATAAATTAGTCCTAGATGTATTTGCTGTTCTTATATATATATTATTTTTTGACATCAGAACAGGCGTGTTTTATTTATCTATTTTAAAAGTATTAAATAGTTACTGATGAAAAGTTTTCTTTCAATTTTTAAAGCAATGATCTTTTTCAAATTTCTCAATAAAAATCAAATTTTATTGCATTTTAATTGTATGTAGTTTTTCTTCTCAGACCGACGTATTATTTTTATCATAGGCATATAATATTGCAGTACTTATTAGTTATTATAATTGTATTTATTTCTCCCATTTTTGTACTTTGATTTTTTCATAAATATTTGAGTATTGTTTTTAAATTAATTCGTTAGTTATATATATGAGTGGATTTTTATTATTTTTAAACAGTTATTTTTGTAATTTAATATTTTAGTTAAAAAAATTAAGAATTAGCCATCAACGTTTTATTATATATAATTACATCTGTTTTTTCAATTCCTACTATTAGTTCTATTTAATTCCTACTATATATATATATATATATATACCTTGTTCAACTTTTCAATCGTTAAAAAATAATTTCTACTCATTCAGTCAAAATTCAATTACATTTTTTAAAACTTGTACGGGATGACACATGATGTTAATATGGTTTTTTTCAAATATTAATTCATTCATTAAATTAAAAAGGGAATAAATAGTAACAAAGAAAAATAATAGACTAACAGCATATATAGAAAATAAAATCTTTTGTTGTGTTCCTGTAGCGCAATGGATAGTGCGTTGGACTTATTATCCAAAGATCGTGGGTTGGAATCCCGCTTGGTATAACCTAATTTCTGAGAAAGCTATTTCTTTTTTTTTACTGTACTATTTTATTGGAATCATTAAATTTAATTAATGAATAAATAGTAGCAAACAAAAAAAACAGCCCAACACCATGTATATAAAGAAAATTGTAAAATTGCCAGGAAAATCGCTTTATATTTTGTCACTTAATATTGTGATTCTTCCATATGTATATACATATTTAAATTAATTGCAACTATTTAATCAAAATAAAATAAAATTTTTCTTTGTTCAATTAAGTACGAGAATTGAGACTTAAAACTTTTTTCTTTAAATTACTTGCTGTATTAAAAAATGTATTAATTTTTCTACCTATAGTATACAGTTTCAAATTCTTTGTTAACAACTTTAAAATATTTTTGGTATAATTGGGAAATAATAATTTTTTGAATTATTTTTAATTTAAGAATACATTATTTTTAATGCGTTTTAGAATATGTAAGTTAATACTATCATGTTCTATTAATGTAATCATTAAATATGCTTTAAGGGGTTTCAATTACTTCACATAAAAATTAATTTTAGAAAACCACTTCTTTTCTGATCGTATGGATACAGTTTATTTTGTGCGAAACGTATTTAAGTTTTTCCTTTTGATGTATGAAATATTGCTCTTTTCAAAATTTTAACTTTCTCCAATATCTCGTACGGAAATAAAGTTGAACCCTTTGGTTTAGTTTCGAAAGAAATTGTAGTAATCTTGCAATTAGTCGATACCCTTCTCCTAAACGCACTTAGTGATATGTTTTAAAATAAATAATATTTCTGATATCTCTTGGAAATTGGGTGAAATTTGACTCTTCAATATAATTGTAGTGAAAGCCGCTTCATATAACTAAAACAAATAGAAATGAATCGTAAAGGAAACTAGCTAGAAATAAAATAGTTATTTGAACATTTCATACATTAATGGAAGAAATATGTTGTGTTGATGAATTGGATTTTATAACTGTTTTACTTATAATTTGCACAGAGAGATTTATAATTATTTAACATTATGAAGAACATATGAACGTTATTCCAGGAGCGAAATTGATAAAGCGCTCTTCCATGTTTTGTGAGGCTACAGGATAAAACACTCTTTCTCATTTCATTCAAAATCGTTAAAAATATTATTCTTTACTCAAATGTTGCTTTCGTGCATCGTGGTATTTTGAATTAGTTTCATGAAGTTCTAAAATATCAGCGTTCTATCCATGGACTGGAACGTAATATGTTCTATGCTCTCGTTTGCAATGAAAAGTCGATGTACGAAAAGGGGATATTTTTTTTCCATTTCCTTAGGCAAACATTGGATATACATTCTCAGAAAATGCCAAATATTTTCAGAGTTTTATCAAACAAAATGCTTTAAGACCTTATCTGACAAAATAAATATGAAATCTCATTTGTGATTCAACGCTGCAATATCCAAAAGAAAGGTTTCAAAGACATTTTTGAAAATTTTCCCGAAGAATCTTGCACTTTTATACGGTTGAATATGTTATGAAAAATACGAAAATGCATTATTCTGTTTAAGAGAAGTATTTGAATTTTCCTACGTGTATTTTAAATACCTTTATATATAAGTGGATATGTAAAAAATTCAAAAACAGATTTATTTATTATCCACGAATATCGCGTATATCCAACAAGAAATTAGAACTTTTCAGTCGGTTTTTCATCAAAAATAATTTAGGAAATATCAATTAAAAAGTAATCTACTAACCAGTTCATACAAATTTCAAACTGTATTTGAATATTTTGACTAATTTAATTTCTCTTTTTCTTAAAGAATGAGAGACCGAAAAAATATTAGGAGTGATTATAAAATTTACATTTATGACGCATAAATAAGTCTAAAAGTAAGTACTGCTCAAAGAATTAAAATATTTATTTCAGATAAATGTTTAAACACATTACAGATAAATTTGTTTAATTGGTCTAATTCTGTAAGTATTTGTCACAATTATGTGTAATTTAATAGTTATTTTATTTTTTAATTTTAAAAGAACTTATTACTTACGAATCCTGTAAAAGCCATGTGTTTTTGCAAATGTATAGTGTCTTTGCGGTATTGGAGTACTCTAAATAGCCATCGAACCACAAGTCCTCTCGTAAGATTGATGGAAAGAGAAGAAAAGCAATGTCCCCTGACCACTTCAGGGTTTCTTAACTCAAAATTGGAGAGAAACTGAGCCAAATCGTGCTGTATGGTGCTCAAAGCTACGGTTAACGATAGTCGTAAATCTTTAGCCCTTTGACTCGAGGAATTTTGTAGACCTCGATCCAACACCGTCAGACAGGTGGCATTAGAAACGACATATATGTAAAAAATTAAAAATGAATAAGAGAAAAAATATTCATTCATAATAGTTTATTTATAATAAGCAAATAAATAAGTAAAGCATAAATAGAAATTCCAGACAGTATAGTATAATAGAAAACTCTTAGCCTTAGGAACTAAAACGGCAGGTGTAAACATTGTTTTGAGGTCAGCCAACTTACTCCTGTAATTTTCCTATGAAATAGGACCATGAACATGTCATTATTAAAAGATTGAATATACTAATGCTATTATTAAATAAAATTATAACAAAAAATTAACTATAACTACTTTTTATTGTAGGAAATTTTAAAAACTACATTAAAAAATGCTATTAAAATTAATAAACATCCCCACAACCCAACACCATGTGAACAGTTTTCGCCAATACTTAACCACAAAGCACCATCCCATTAAAATAACTATTATAAGATCAACTTTTAAATAAAGTTTTATGTACTTTAAAAAATTAAATTATTAATAGGAAAGTTCTGGTAGGAAGATGACATCAATCATACTGAACAAAGCAAGTATAAGTTAAAATAAATTTAAATTTATTTAACGTAGGACCATCTTGTAACCGTATGTAGTAAAAATTGAGTAACATTGCTGAAAAAAATATTATAAAAAATATAATTTTCTTTCCATTAGTTAGTTTTTGACACAGGTTCAATCGAAGACAATATGAAAAATGACTTCAGATTAGATGTTCAAAATCTTATTTATAATGTTTGAAAAAGAATTTTAAAGTTAAATAAAAATGTGTAGAAATTTTGATCTGCATCTTCATATCTACCAAAAATAACGGAATTTTCGAATTAAATATAAATATCAAAATGTATAGTATTTTTAAACAAAATATTCAGAACCAAACTTTCTAATATGTGTTATGTTACATACAAATGTGATCTATTATTTATATGTAAAAGTAATAGCTCCTAAAGTTCACAATTTAATATAGAATTGTAAATAATAATAATTATTATTATTTTCTATGAAACAACTGAAAAGTCAATGAGTGATAAATGAACATTTACGCTAGTACTTCTACCCTTACTAAGAGAAATAATTATCTTTCTACCATCTAATACATAAATATCGAATTTCATTGAAATATTATACGTTAAATTCTTTTCATTATTTAATACCTTGAGAATTCGAATTCAACTTGAAATCAATGGGACCATAATTGTAAGCATATTGAAATGCTTTAAAGTGCTGCAGTAAATAGACTATCGGCATGCATAACTTGAGATAAGTTATCATTTATTTGTTAATATTTCACTGTTTAAAACAATGTAAATATAATTAATTATTTAGAAAATATTATCTCATTTCACATATACGAATCTATAAAAGATAATTAAAATTAAATTTAATGAAACGAATATCTGATTATATTATGCAAATAAAAATTCAATTCATTTGATTTTGAATCTGAATTATGTTATTTTGGCAGTTTGTGTGTGTCACTAAGATAAAAAAATAGCTACTAATTGCATTAAAGTGTTTTTAGCTTCAAATGATAAATGATGTTTTGAAAATATATTGTGGTATGAATGACACAATTGTATTAAAACAAATCATGCGCATTTAAATTATAATTTCTATTTTCTAAGAAAATAATTATAAACGATTTGACTTTATAAGGATATTGACTTTCAGTTTATCATTGTCGTGGTAACTGAATACTCATGATCACGAACTCGGAGTTATATTTGTCCAGTCGTTGGCTTAAATCTTGATGCCACAAACCACGCCATGTAAAATGACTGATACAAAATCGGTCAAGACTCAAGATTCTCACGTTAGCGCTGTCTGAAAATTTAAAGAATTATTTACCGAAAAGATATCGTCTACATCAGGGAAGGGCATTACGTCGATCGCTCGCGACCGGTGGAACACCAAGACATTTTGAGGTCATCACCTGAAGATTAGCAGTTAATAGTTATATACGGAAATATTCAAAATTGGCTGATGGTATGCAGACTAATTCTTCTACTGACTAAAACTACAAGAACTAATTTTAGATGAAAATGTTTTATTCTATGATGTTTTTTGTGTTGTTTGATAAGAAAATGTCATTTTTATATTACTATATTTGTGGTATTATTATTATGTTTGTATCTTACATTTTTTTATTAGAACGCTGTTTTTAAAGTAAGAGTTTTTTTAGATATGTAGGTAAGTTTATGTTTCGTATTTATTATGAAGTCATAATAAATAATGTACACGTTTTCTTTACCTCACCACACACCTACGACAGGCGACATTGGGGCACACACGAGTTTTTCAAGAGGGGTTGATCCAGGGTCGAGAGTTTACGTTTCGCGTATTATACCAGAATATGTAACCAAGCATATTTTCTACTTATTAGATTCTCGGGAATAAAGAACAATATAAAATAAATTCTTGAATAAATAATTTGCATTCATTAATACACAATAATTATTAATAACAAAATTAAATAAATTTTACGTATTATATACATGGGATTACAATAAATCGAAAAAATAATCAAGGGATATGGGGGGTAATCCACACCCGTGGATCCCGCCCCGTGCCGCCACTGACCCTGGATGGACCGCAACACCTTAAAAAAATTCAAAGAAGTCCGTACTCTGGAATGACAATATATAAATAGTAATTTTTGTTGCTTTTTTTAAAAATTGTATT